ACCACTTCTACAAGCACTTCTTCCACAAGCACGACTTCATCCAGCACATCTTCAAGTAGCACCACCACAACTTCTACAAGCTCTTCGAGCAGCACTACAACATCGAGCAGCACATCGTCAACCAGCACGACTTCGTCCAGCACGTCGTCCAGTAGCACCACCACTACATCCACATCCACCTCAAGTACGACTACAACTTCGAGTAGCACGTCTTCAAGTTCGACCACTTCTACAAGCACTTCTTCCAGCAGTACCACTTCTACATCCACGAGCACATCATCCTCGAGTACTACTTCCACAAGTACATCTTCCAGCAGCACCACCAGCACTTCCACGAGCACTTCCTCCAGCACAACATCTTCGACCAGCACGTCCTCATCGAGTACTACTTCCACAAGTTCTTCTACGACCAGCAGTACGACATCTTCCACCTCTAGCTCTTCGACCACCAGCACTTCTACAAGCAGCTCAAGTACCTCCACGACGTCGACCAGCACGAGCTCGGCCCTGAGATCGTGTTTCTGCAGCCGATTTGCTGCGCAGTCACTGCTCATGGCTGCCATCCCCCGACAGCAGCAAAGCTGGAGCGTTTACTGGCGCGGCACGCAGACTTGCCTGCGCACAGCACAACCTGATCCCATGTACAATCGTCATATGCACATGGAAGAAGGACTGTTAGCTTGAGAAACTGTTTGTCGCGTCTGTAGCGTCCTCAAACCCAAAATTAACCCCCGAGTAACTTGCCGACCAAGGCTCCAGCAGCACAACATCTACTAGCACGTCGTCGACAAGTAGCACATCAACGAGCACGTCATCGACAAGCACTACATCGACAAGCACGTCGTCAACAAGCACGACTTCGTCCAGCACGTCTTCCAGCAGTACTACCAGCAGCTCCACCAGCACATCCTCCAGCAGCACAACTTCTACAAGCACTTCGTCGACCAGTACCTCCTCCACCTCAACCAGTTCGAGTTCAACTACTTCAACTTCAACCAGTTCGTCATCGACAAGCAGCACATCCACATCTTCCAGTTCAACGAGCACAACCTCAACCAGCACGTCCTCCAGCAGCACCACCAGCACCTCCAGCAGCTCGACATCGACCAGCTCTACGTCGACGAGTTCTTCATCAACATCATCGACGAGTACGTCCTCATCCAGTACTTCGACCAGCAGCACATCAACAAGTTCTTCGACCACAAGCTCGACTTCGACCTCGTCATCCAGTACCTCCTCGACCAGCACTTCTTCTACAACAAGTTCTACAACAAGCAGCCTCCACCTCAGAGCTGGTTTCGACCAGCACCTCATGTGTGCAAGTCAAGTCGCTTCTTAGGCAGCACCACATCGACAACAAGCTCTTCCACCTCCACGTCGTCGACGAGTAGCAGCACCACATCGTGCCTTGCAGATGTTGCTGGAATACACGTCTTCTGCTTCCACTCCGTATTCTTCTAAGCTTCTCACCTTGCCAGGTCGTCGACAACAACCTGGACCAACACGACAACCACCACAACCACCACCTCGAGCTGCTTTGTCAGATGGTGTATCGTGGGGTCGGGACGGAATCATTTTGTCTTCGACCTAACGCCGGTCTTTTGTCGAAGCTGCGGCTTCTCTTAGGTTCCACCACCTCCACCTCAACGACCTCCTCATCGAGCCGGGCTCTCGCTGCGCTTTGATCTTCCCAAAATTGAAGCCTTCTGTGACGGGCCACGGGCGCTTCCCTATCAGGCACGACCATCACCATCACGAGTCCCAGCCCAAGCTTGTCTCCTGTGCAGTTGCAGAGCGTGCGCAGCTACTCTTGGTTGTGGTTGCTTGCGTAGCATTGGAGTGATGCCTGCCCGATATCCAAGCAACCACGACTTTATCGTCGACCACTACAACGACAATGGTGCGACCTCCTGTGATTCAAGTGTGTACGACTGTCTTCGGCGTTGAAGCCCGCTGTCGATCCGGTTTAGGGTTCAGTGGTCTCGGGATAGCTTTACAGCCTCGAGCGTCTGGTGGTGAGATGAGAGGGTGGCTGGGGCTCTTTGTCTTCTCCAGCTTCCGAGTGCCAGGTGGAAGCGGTGGCCTTGCGCGCGATCGGTGCGCTCGATCGGGCAGAAGAGGACGTTACTGCTCGGAAGCCTGGGAAATTGATTCCGAACGCCTGAGCCCAGTTCGTGCCGCCTTGTGGTCAAGTAGCTGTGCCGTGACTCAACCCCACGACCTGAACTCTGAACCCGACCCGAGCAGAATGTGGTCTCCTGCTCAACATGACGAGTCCGTTTTCATTGACCACGAGACTGAGGCAAACCTCTTGTCCGCCCTCCTGGAGAGCTTGGAAGGTGCGGGGATGGGCCGCGATTGCGTCAGACCTTCAGCATCTTTCCGCCGGCAGAGCAATGAACTGAGGGGAGCCCCTCGTCGAGCCCTTGGTGACCACTTCAAGCACGGCTGTCGGCGCGGAGGTCACAGCGACTTGGGCGGAAAGACCCAGGCCTTGTGCGCAGATGCAGAAGCCACGAGGGCCATTGCTTTACCCAACAGAGTTCCAGAAGGCTCCAGTTCTCGGCAGCCAAGGTGACAATGTTGACCTTTGTGGCAGCTGCCAACACAGGCTGCCGTTTGCAAGGATGCCACAGGAAAAGGGATAGCTCGCTACTCAATTCTTCAGACTTGCTACGAGCAGTGCGTTCTTGGCTCTCAGAGTGATCAGCCCTCAGCCTAGCCTTCCTTTCCGCGACCTCACCTCGATGTCCGGGATGCGTGCGCTCTTGTTTGTGCTCCCTCTGGTGGCAGCGGAGCCCCAGTCCCTTCGGGGAGCCTTCGACGAGGTGGCTTGCACTGGCAACGGAGGCCTGGCAGAGAACAGTCCGTCGTGCTACGGTGGCCAATTCCTTGTCGAGAAATTCTCGCTCCATGTGCTGAGCTATGACGGCTCTACGGGCATTGTCGACATGAAGGCGGAAGGTCCCCAGTCGGCCGAGTGTGATGGTGCGGAATTCCAGAGTGACGACAACATGATCACCATCGAGAACGATCAGGGATGTGGCTTGAGCAACTACGAGTACACGGTGAGGTACTGCCCGGATCAGGACCATGCCTCTTGACTCCAGCTAGAGAGCCTGCCTCGCAGATGAAGTCCAACAGGGTATCGGTATAAGCAATCCACGCCGGAACAACGGCTGTGAGCATCATAGCCCTAGCAATAATGCTGGTAATGGAATTCCTAGCTGTACTTTTCGTGATCAATCCTGCAACTTGAGGTCATCGTAAACCTGGTGAAGCCTTACAACGCGCGCGTTATCCTGCAGAGCCAAGCATGTCCCACTGCCGGGGAGGTGTGAGAGCGCCCCGGGAAGACTGTGCCGAAAGCGTGCAGTGAATTCGTGGCCCTGCGCACCTCGCAGGGCAGCACGTACTTGCCGTGCTATGTCTGCCAACCTCTCTGTCTAATTCAAGTCTTTTGCGGCGATTTGGTCGTTCCTCGACAGACTGGCAGAATGCAATGTGACTATAAAGTTCCAGTATTCGGCATGCAAAGGTGCGGCAAAATTAGGGGCCTCTGGATTCAAACTCAGATCTTTGTTGCCTTCGGCACCTCATAAGCTCCTCCGCGGGGCCTTTGATGCCAGCATGTCTCCCCAGCAAATCCCCGATCTGCATGCGAAGGCCAAAACATCATGCAAATCGAGACCGTGGTGAGCGACGGCAGCTTTGCACCGCGGGCCGGGCCCTTTAGTCAAAGGCCAAGGCCCGGCCCCCTTTGCAAAGTTTCGGAGTCTCCGACAGGTGAGTGTCCCTCTGGCCGTCCTTGACCAAATCAGCGGTGGATCCTCCGGCCCGGCCCGGCCCCCTGTGATGGGGGATGATGCTGCCAGTGACGGTTGCAAAGCTAGGTCTTCGTGTACACCTCCAAACAAATAGTCAAAAAAAGAATGGTGCGAATGATCAGCACTTGTCTTAGCTGCTAGCGAGAGTTAGCCACAGGAACACAGATGCGCACACTGACGTGTTAATGCCATCCAGAACGGGGCAACCATAGTTTGAGTCATGATGACAGCAAGTCTTTCAAACATGCTTAAAATTCCCGTGCCAGTGCAGCAAACAGTCATCATCAACATCACCAGCGTCGTCATCATCACCATCGTCGGCATCAGTGGCATCAATTATCGTAAGTTTTATCCACATCACCAGCATCATCACCAAAGTCCTCGTCATTGTCATCAAAAACGCAATCCTCCTCCTTCTCCTCCTCCTCCTCCTCGTCCTCCTCCCCATCATAATCATCATCATCACCATCATCATCATCATCACCGTCATCACAACCACCGCCACCACCACCACCACCATCATCACCATCATCATCATCATCAGCCTCATCCTCATCCGCATCCGCATCCTCATCCTCATCGTCAATCGTCATCGTCAGTGTCATGGTCATCCTTATGGTTGTCGTCGTCGTCTTCGCCATCGCCAGCAGGAGCGGGAGCAGGCAGGAGCAGGAGGAGCAGCAGCAGCAGCAGCAGCAGCACCCAGAGCGGAGGCAGTGGCAGTAACTAGCAGCTGCAGTGGCGCGAATAACTTGTGAGCTGCAGTTCCCGCGGCTTGTGAGATGTTTTGTCGTTCATCTACGCCCAGGTTGCAATCACCACCGGCAAGCTGCCGATGCAGTTTTCCCGCGACATTGAGGTGCGCAGTCGCGGGCATGGGACGGCTCTGAACCTGCCTGAAACTGAAATGCTTCAACTCTCTCTTGTTCGAAAGGCCGTCGGAGCAGCCAAAGCGAGGATGGACTTGAACGTCTCCGACGCGCTTCGGCTCGGTTTCGAAACGGTTGGTGGTGCCTGCAGGCTTTGGTGGTTGGATGTTGAGCGTGGAGCAATCCAAGAGTTGAGGTTTCGAGCGCATTCGAGCGCAAGTCTTACCTAACCTCCCTCGAATTTTGAGCAACAGAGGGCTGCTTACAAGAGGTGACGGGTGGTTCGACGTTGATGCGTTCAGAGTCTCGAGTTATGTCTTTGCAGCTCCAGTTCGTTGACTCGTGTCACCATGTATGGCAATTTCGCTCTTGGCTTCAACGCCTGAACTGCAACTTCCCTTCGCTGCTACTCCGTCTGAACTGCTTGTGCTACTGCTACTGCTATTCCTACTCCGAGTACCCATGCTACTACTGGTGCTTGTGCTGCTGCTCCTGCTCCTGCTCCTGCTCCTGCTCCTGCTCCTGCTCCTGCTCTTGCTCCTGCTCCTCCTCCTCCGCCTCCTCCTCCACCAGCTACTATTACTATTGCGACAACAACAACAACTACTACTACGACGACGACGACGACGACGGCTGCTGCTGCTGCTGCTCCTGCTGCAGCGACTGCTACTGCTGTGGCTGTTTCCGCTACAGCCACTGCGACTGCTGCTGCCGCTGCTGCTGCTACTGCCACTACTGCTACTACTGCTACTACTGCTTGCACGACTCCTTTTGCAACTGTTGTGCTGACTCCTTCCAATCGCTCCACGTTCACGACTCCTCCTTCTAGTTCTGGGTTGCTGCTGAAAGCTGGCAATTACAATAGCCATGCGATTCTGTGAGGCTCTGCACTCTACACCCTACTTTCAGAAGCGTCTCACAAGGGCTCCCCCTTTGAGAATCTCCCCTCCCTGCGTCGCGTCGAACCCGAGGCCGAGGCTGCCCCGGCGCTCGCCACGCAGCCCTTCTCCATCACGGTCTACGACAGCAATGGGGAGCCGATCCGAGGCCTACCAGACACCCCAAAAAGCCTAATCCCGTGAATCAAATCCCCAAAAGCCCTGTACCCTGATGTCGAAGCCCATGTTGCTTTTGCTCGGAATTTGGATCGGCCTTGGATTCAGGGCTTGGGGCCTTGAATTTATCCCAGGTTCTGTTTGGTTCCTATGGATTCTTGTCTAAAGAGCCTTCCAAGCTTGTTGGGTTCCTGGATCACGATCACCCGGTGGTCCTGCACGCCAGAGTAGATTCATGCCAGCATGAAGGATACTTGAGCAACCGCTTCTGCAAATAACATTGATGCAAGAAACTCGTCGGTGCAGACTGGGAAAGCTGTTTCGTGCAGCTTCCAGCTGATAATGTCGAACAGGTTGAGGGGGCGTGCAGGTGCTCCAAACCCCCTTTATGGCAGCTGCAGATGCAAGACCACAGCCGAAGCACCGCGGCTGAGGCATTCAGCTGGCCCAACCGATGACGCTGCAACTGGCGGCACCTCGCCTCGAGAACCCCTTAGTTCGGGTTCTGGTGAGTCGGTTGGCTTGCAGATAAGGGTGCAGGTAGTTGCAGTCTAGGCGGACTCAGTCTGTCGTGTCTTGAACTCCAATCTTGGACAGCGCATATCTCGCTGTAGCAAGATGGCAGGGCATTTCGGAGGAAGGAAAGTAAGCACAGAGATGGATCATGATGGATCCGTAAACCTGCCTTTCTCACAACGGCAGACAGCAGGAAGACGCAAACGACTCCATCGCGTGCGCCTTCTTCAACCAGACATCTTTCCGGTGGTCGACCTCCGGATTGAGGCGCCCGGTGCTGTGCATGAGCCGAGCTGATGAAAGTTGCACCTAAGCCGCTCAAGGCGTGTTCGACCAAACATGGGAAATGCCAGCACGACGCCATCTGGAGCGTCTCCCGCCTGCCTGGGAGTTCCGGGTTCTAAACAGTTGGATGCTATCATGCCTTGTTCTCTGCCACCGGTCATCATGCGCAGAGCCGTGAAGCCCCGAAGCCAAGGAAAGAACTGCAAACCCCGAACTCGGAGCCCAGACCTTGACCTCTGAACTCAATCTTGCTGCGAGTCTGAGGCCAGTGCCCTTGATTTGTGAGACAGACCACTTGAGTATCTTCAGTGGTGTCATTGCCATGCCTGCCGTCGGGAACCCAGAAACTCCGGGACTGGCAATCGCAGAGTCTTCCTGCCTTGGGGCAGCGCCACTTTTTGGGCTGGGGCTCTGATGGCCGCTGTTTCAGGAAGACATGGAAGGATACGTGGAGGTCCCTTTCGCACGGAGCCAAGCAGCTTAGGGAGAAGTCAAATTCCTCTCTCCGACCTTCCACCAAGGAAGAGTCGAACGTTGCAAACGGCGGCATCAGCCCGGGCACCGGCGGCGGAGACTCGCGCAGGGCCCAGAAACTTTTCTCTGTTTGCCTTGTGGTGGTGATTGTGGCGATCACGATGATGACGATGAGGATCACAGGCAGTGAAGATGATGGTGGTCACCGCCCTGATGACGACGATGACGTTCTCGAAGTCGTCACTGTTGCGGCTGATGATCCCGGAAACACCTCCCTACATGTGGCACAAGCTTATGCCCATAATTACTAAGGCACACACAGGCACAGAAACGAACGAAGTCACACACACACACAAGCCCCCCCACTGTGGAGGGATTGAAGGTCAACATCTTTATTATGTTTCCAAAGGTACGCATGCATGCATGCACGCTGCTGTTTTGTATAGCACTGTGCATCCTGGGTTATGCTCGTGCACCACCATTCAGGTTCAAGTACACGCATGCAAAACAGCAAGGTGTAATCAAAAGTATCCGAGTCTTGGCTGTCAGCCCTCAGCCCTTCCCATACGTTGTGGAACAGCTGCAACTGGAACGAGGCAGCAAGGCCCAAAGTTCCATGACACACAGCGGTCCCAGGGTCCAGCATCCTGGCAACGGCGGCGGGGTCGACCAGGTCGGTTCCTCGGAACTTGGGAGATCCTGGGCCTCTGCGTCTTTGCTTTGCTTTGCCTCCTGATATGGTTTAGAGTGAGCGTGTGGTGAATGCACTCCGTGCAGACGCTTCAAGTGCGGATCAGCACCATCCTCATCGTCATTGTCGACATCATTGCTGCTGTTGTCGTTCTTATGATGTGTGTGTGTGTAAGTAGACATGTGTTTCCGCAGACATAAATATTCAGACAGATAAACATACAACAAAACATAAATGGGTAACATAAGCAAGCATGAAACATTAACGAATAAACAATTTATGCATGTATGCATACATATATATGTATATATATGTATATATATATATACATACATACATACATACATACATACATATATATATATATGTGTGTGTGTGCGTATGCACACACACACACACACTCACCTACCACCCTGCTTTCCCACATACGTACACGCATACATGCATCCATCCACCCATCCATGCATGCATGCATGCATATCAGCTCACAGCGATCCGTGCCTCGAGCCGACAGGATTTTTGAGACAAAAAGCTGAGGTTCTCTTCGCTTAAGGGCATGTCGGATCCGCGAGACGGTTCGCGCCATCCACTTCAGTGCACCCAACAAGCTTTTCCTGAACGTCGGTTCGAAGCCCGCAAGCTCCAGATCCTCCGGCTGCGAGTGGGACATGGAAACGGGGCCCTTTGTGCCGAAAGAGCCAACTGCGGGACCAGTTGTCTCTGAGCCGACACACATGTGGCTTTGTTTTTTTGACACCAGCTAGAAAATGCTGAAAGTGCAGAATAAAGCGTGTAGTGCAGAACTGGACGCTCTAAAGAGCCTTCGGGGATGCATACGTCCACCACGGAGAAATCCAAAAACCAACACGATGGCTTGAGCGCCGTTTGCTGTTGTCACATGAGATGTTATGCCAGGTCGCGGGCTTACACGTGATTCACAGTCACACTGAGACCGAAACATCGTGAATTGCATGCGTTTCCCTTCGCTTGGGCATGACTGCAACCCTCCGGAAAGCCAATTTGAATGCCGGCCTTGGCATGATCGCCTGAGATCGTCTGAGAACGCTGGTTGGGTGCTTCTTTTTCTATATCGGGGGTCTGCAACAGAGATTTTCGACAGTCGATCTTTACCGCTACAGGATAGTTCGTTTTGCGAGGATTCCCGCGCAGTAGAGGCCAATCGTGTTCGCGGGACACTAGCTGACTAGCTCTTGGCTCTGTTTAAGGTTTTCGGCATCAATGCATGTGGCGCGTTGCCCTTGCCCTGAACCAGGTGGTTGACGTGGTCGACCAAGTGTTGAGATGCACAAGGCCATTGTTGAGCTGTTGCATGCTTTGTGTTTGCAGGCCTTACGTGCAAGTTTAACACACTGCTCCTGACAGCTAAACGCCGAGCAAACCAAGCTCTTGTGACAGGGCTGCCGGCATCTTCTCCGCAGACGGTATGAATGCAGTGGGACGAGGCACCAAGCTGCGTTTTAGGCACTTTAGGCTTTGATGTATCCCGATTCCGGGGGCTTGGACAATCCAGATCCTCAGCATCCGAATCGGTTGATGCCTCGGGGCACATCCTGCATGTGTGTGGTACAGGCGCATGGACGTCGTCGAGCTCTGCCACTGCCCTCTTCGCCAGCCGTCACATCCAGCGGGCAATAGGATAGCTTGAGCTTCAGTGCTGGAGCGGGTTCAGGCTTTGGTGCTCCAGGTGTGGGGCTGGAGCTTTCGCTTTCTCAAGTCGTTACAGGCTTGGTTAAGCAAAGTCTCAGGTGAGCCTGGCGCTCTTCGGTGCCGCGGCTTTCGCGGCTTTCGCCCGAGATATCAGCCGCAACCAGACCAAGCCGCTCCGCTGCTTTCCGGTTCGGCTTATCGGTTTCTTGGGTTTTTGTGAGTCGAGGGCGTGGAGCTGGAGTTTTCTGTTGAGATGGCTGAAGGTTTTCAGAGGAAGCTGCCGAAAAAAATTCTCAGCCTGAACTCAGGTGGATGGGGCAGCTGATGTCCCTGAGCTACACTGACAACGAGCAGGAGGAGGAGGCCACGTGTGGTGAAGAGTGCCCGGCTGAATCCCGAAATGCAACATTTCGAAAGCCACCTTTCCCCGTGTCCTCGCCACCAGGACGAAGAGGAGGAAAAAGAGGACTTCGCGTCGTAGGTCTCAGATATAGTCATACTATGTCGTGACGACGAAGAAGGTTAATCCTAGCAGGACAGGCGCAAGTTTCGGGGTGAAGCCAAGCACGTTCGCGTTCGGGAGGAGAAGGCGCGGAGCCTTTGCAAGTACTGCATCCTCGTGTTGCAGGGCCTCCAGGCCCGGGCTAAAAGGACGTCCTTGGGTTGTTCTCGGGGTGCTTGGCGCAAGGATGGCAGGCTTTGGATTCAATTGGGCTCTAAGTGAAACGGCTCATCGGAAGCTTGTAGTTCAATTATTCTGACAGTCATATACCTTTGACATATAGATATGGATACATGTATGGATATAGATGCAGACATAGATAGTATGGATATAGAAATAAGACAGCGACATAGACGTATCTGTACATGACTGTATATGTATATTTGTATGTATGTGTATACGTCCATTTATATGTGTGAGAGTATATGTATGTATACATACACACATACACAT